TCGAAATATTATTACATCCGGTCTTAATTAAATTTACAATAGTCGAAAATGATATAGGAGAATTATGATTTTTCCTCACATTACTTTTTAATTGAGACCGCAATAATTCTACTGGATTCTGTACACAATAGTAAGGAGGTAATCTTAATACTTTATGGCCATAATTCTCAGCTAGCCTGTCGATAACATAATTTTTTTCATATTGAACTCATTTTATTAGTTCTAAAAGTTTTTTTTTTGTGTAAGAATCCATAAAATATGTTTCATATTTTGATAAAAATTCTTAAACTGATACGGAGGAGCATTATCCAAAATAATAACACTATTTCTTTTTAATTTATGCAGTAATTGCTGCCCTAACCCACTTTTCAAACAAAGTACTGTCTATATCTTGATGATAATCTAAGCGACGATCACTTACACTCTTATTAGATATTAATCTTCTACCCATCCTGATTCTCCCTTACAATGGTAAGTACAAAATTTCTTTCCTCTAGAGGATGGAACATTGGTGACGCAATTTTTACTACCATTGTCTAACATTTTTTTAACTATATCGTGTTTGTCGAACCAAGTTTCATCCAAATAATACAAGTTCTGCAACGCCTTAATGAACGCTGTCATGAGTATGGACTGAAGATAAATTTAAAGAAAACTAAATGCATGATCATGACTAAATCTGCACATGTAAATATCCAATTGACTATTGAAGATACTGCAATTGAGAGTGTTAATAACTATAAATACTTAGGAACATGGATAACATCAGATGTAGACCAAACCAAAGAAATTAAGACACGTATTGAAATAGCACGTACATAATTATTAAACTTAAAAAGTTTCTTTGTTGTCGGGATATAAGGTTAGAACTACGCCTGAAAATGCTTCGATGTTACGTGTTCTCTACTCTTCTTTATGGTCTGGAAGCTTGGACACTAAAACAAGTTCATCTAATTAAGTTGGCCGCCTTTGAATTTTGGTGTTACAGAAGAATCCTACGAATATCATGGACTCAAAGAATGTCAAACATGGAAGTAACTAAAAGGATAGGAAATGAGGCGGAAATAATATTAACTATTAAAAGACGAAAACTTGAGTACTTGGGACATGTGATGAGAGGGCAAAAATACGCATTATTACAACTTCTTATGCAGGGCAAAATCCGAGGAAAGCGAAATGTGGGAAGACGAAGAATATCCTGGCTTAAGAACTTGAGGAATGGTTTGAATGCAGTAGTGCAGAACTTTTTAGAGCGGCAGTCAACAGAGTCCGCATAGCCATGATGATTTCCAACCTTCGATAGAAGATGGAACTTAAAGAAGAAGAATACAAGTTCTTTCCTTCACTCCTAAAAGACATTAGACTCTCAAAATAATCGAACCTCCACTTTATTAACCGGCTGGATTAGATAATTGCCTGCCGTTTATTCACTGTTTTAAACATAAAACCATTAAGTTTTAAAAACCTCCAAAAAGTAGTTTTATGATACTCGGGGATTATTTCGTTGTTTCTTAGGTCACTCAAAAGTTTATTTAAAGTTGGTAAGTTATGCACTGAATACATATTGTTTCCCGTATAGCTGATAAATGAAAATTCGGTAATACTCGATGAGCACCAGAATCCTTTATTTTTTTTTTTTTTCGCAACACTGGACCGTCTTTTATAAGTTCGTACACAGTGGATCGTGGCTGTTGTGTCAAAAAACCGTCTTTTTGATCGATTCTGATTTAACCATCGTCCAAAGAACACCTAAAAAATATGTAATTTTGCTTTTTAAGGAGTTTTGCTCGGAATTCTGTATTTTTTATGAATCCATTAATCGGTAAATATGATTAACCTTCCTAATACCAGGTCGGGCGAATTCTCGCCCCAGTCTAACGTTTTTATTATTATCTGTAATTAAGTTTAAATCAATCACTTTCACAGTTTTGGACATTGGTAGTTGATGTATTAAGAGCACAAAAAAGTAGTACAACACAAAATACCGCGAACAGAAAATTATGTATGTGGGGCGAGAAGTCGCCCCACGTGGTATCCAGTGTTTTTACGTTTTACAAATTTGATTTTATCAGTTTAGACGAAAGTTTTGAAAAAAGGTTACTAATTACTTGCCATGAGGTGCAGTCACATTCTTTACATATTAGCAGTTGATTGTAATGTGTTTCCTTTATCTTTGCAATTCCATTCTTGCTATTATACAAGTGGGAAATTCCCCTATTAGTATATTTTTGTCTAGATTCTTCAAAGCATCACTTTCTGGTTGGGACTGTCTCTCTAAGAATTTGTAAAGTGCAATTAGCATTAAGTACGTCTGATATCTGATAACTGCTAAAATTACGTGTTTATTTGGTGAGTTTCTTAATGTGACTGTCTTCTGCCTTTAATTTTCAATTTGTTAAATTGATACTAAACAAAGTATATAGACAATAAAGGTTAAAAAGAATGGTAAGATTAATGAGATACATTAAATCCTTGCTTACTTACTTACTTACTTACTCCGTGGCTTAAAACCCTTCGTGGGTTTTAGCCGACTCGACAACATGCCTCCACTGTTTTCTGTCTTGCGCTTAAAAGTAATCCAAACTACTGGGGCGAGAATTTGTCCCACCTGGTATAACCTGGTTACACTAGTCGTTCTAAAATTCACCCGGTATTAGAAAGGTTAAATAAGGAATATTTTTAACGAGTGCTTACCGTTGTAAACGTTAAGCACGATTTGCTTTGCATCGTGTGTGAGATGAATATAACCAGAACGTTTTCCAGATTCAGACTAGTTTTCACTTCCTGAAATAGTGGCAAGAATGTACAGGACATCATCACGAATCATTTCTATATCACTCATATTTATAGTTATGACACTAACTTCTGTTATAAATGGACGATAAAAGAAAAATAAAGTTCTTTTTAAATAAACTTTTTTTCACATAAGCTCATTTGGTGATAATATAAAATTCCAAGAAATTTTCTAATCTCTTATAAACACTGGTTTTACTTACCTAGAAATTTGTAATTCTAAATTCGAAGTACAAATGTAATTAACTGATTAAATTGAAAGAGGTACAGAAAATTATGCTTAAAATTTTATTTACCAATCGTTAAAAACTCAAAATTGAAATACGTACCTGACTACACCGAGTTTGTATCATTTAGTAAAGTACCTTTAAACTTTGGATAGAATTTAAAATTTAACGTAATGTGACAAAAAACTAAGGATGATTAATCGTTACATCATTAAGCGAGTACAGTCATTTTGTGCTTGATATTGGCCCAGTCTCTTAATCTGGGAATTCCATCCGAACAATCTTGCAACGGATAGTACCTTTCAAAGTCTATCGTAAAATGCAAAATAATTTGTAAATAAATACACAAACATACACTTAACAATACGATATATAATTATTAAGGTTTAAGAAAGCCACATATAAAAATTATTTCGAGTATTTTGGAAGAACCCTTAATTTTAAAGCTCGGGAACACTTTTATAGTTCAGTTTATTGTCTTACAAATCAGCATATCTAACCTACACACAAAATTAAAGACCCTAAATTTTGCCGCCGTAGTATATTGCAGTCCTATACTAGTGATGAGTCACTTTTTATTATTTCCAGATAGCACTATAGCTTCTTCTTTTGACTAAAAAAACCAGTAATGGTTAAGTTAAACCATTTTCATAGGTTATAAGTCCAGGATATTTTTCTTCTTCTTGGACTTCTTTTTCATGCTCCCTACCTTAAAGTAAGGTCTCAAGTGGGTCCTATCATTTCTTATCACTTCTTTATATGTCGGTTATGACTAAATTATTACGATTTAACAGAGAGTTAAGGAAAAATCAAAGAAGCGGCTCTAATTATGCTAAATGAGGTCAATTGTGTCGCAAATCCTCGGCAGAATGTAGTAGGATCTGGTTACCAATATTGAAAGAGGAAGTTATTAATAAGAAAATACCAGTATTAGTAAGTCAGTAACATATAGAGGATACATCATTTATGTTTTTTTTTAATAACGTAACACATAAAATCAGAATTTTGATGTTTGTTGAAGGTAAACTAAATTCACGAACAAATACTTACAATGTCGGGATAGTATTTTGAGGTTTTTTCCTGGTTTTTCTCTCATAATTTACTATGGATACACTAACAGGAGAATTTTACTGTCATCATGTCATGTGTTTGTCTTTTTAAAGACGAATTACATGCTATCATTTTTTTCTGACGGATAGTCTCAAGTTAAAGTTGATTTATGTAATCGAATGAACTATCTTATAAGTAAAGTCGTCCCAGGACCGCAACTCAACAATATTGGCAATATCATTTTAAAGTCGTCTACTTTAAAATGCATAATGTATGTCTGAATTGTCAATATAAATGAGTCAGATAAAATTAAATTATTAGAAGAATTTTTTCACTATGTAACAAAAAACAAAATTTGTTTAATTTACTGTTTGTATTTTGAGAACGACTTCCGAAGTGGAAATTGAAACGTCAATAAACGTATTTTATCTTTAATTGTGGCTTATTCCCAGTTAAATAGTAATTAATTTACAATGCCACAAGAAAATACTTTCAGAACAATATAAATTATCACGGTTTTAAGATAAAACCATTTTAAAAGCAAATTTAATTTATTGTTTAAGTGGGTAATACAATATTTTGTGGTTTTAAATATAAAATAGTTTTCTCAAATTGTCTAATATTGCAAAGCTACTGCATAGTTGCTTTTATTGTCAACGCGATAAAATATTTCGTTGAACTATTCACCACTGCACTTTAAACTAGCTTTGTAAGCTTTCATAGAAGGGATTTTTAGCAACGCTTATTTATTAAAATTTTTTAATACATCAGGTAGTACAGTGCACTTGATTTATATACTTTAAATAATTCTCTAATTCTGACATTACTGCTATATCGTGTGCATCAAGTTATAGCTGCTATATTTTATATGAGGCTATGCTATGTTTAAATGATATAAATTTTTTTTCTTTCTTTTTTTTTTTGTTTTAGCATGTTGTATTGGAGGCCTACACGGTGTTTGTCGACCTGCAAGAGTCTGTGGCGATGTTTTTAAATTAGTGACAAATGCCCATTTAGGATATTGTTTACCGGAGGGACCTGAACCTTACATTTGTTGTCCTTACGTGCTAACAGCACATAATAGAAATCCTCTATATTCCTTCATGCAGAACGTTGAGCAGAATATTATACTGCCTAAAGAAACAATCTCATCTGCAAAACCTAATGAGGATCCATTTCCAGTCAGTGTACAAAGACCCATAGGTTCTTTAATATCCACAAAAGGTCCTATGAGTTCCACCATGAAGTACGATGAGCTGAAAAGTTCCCTATCTGAAGATGTGCCCTTATCTAAGGAACTAAATAAAGGCCCATCATCAATTAATGCACAAATTAACATAGTTTCTTCAACATCCACAGAAAATCCTATGAATTCCACCACACAGAATGGAATGGAAAGTCTTGAGCCTAAAGAAATGCCTCCACCTATAATAGATGAAGATCCATCATCAGTTAGTGTAAAAAGTAAGATAGTTTCACTCTGATTCTAATTGTTTTCTTCATAAACCGTACGTCAAAATTTTGCGATCTGGTTACAAAGTATTTAAAATTCAGTCATAAATAAAAAACGGTAATTTATGTTAAAATAAATTAACACTCCTTTTAATTACGTTATTAAATCTAATTCGTATTACTTAATTAGTTTTACAAATCAAGCAATTAATACATTATCAATTAAATAAGCTAATATCTCATTGCCAACGGTTTTATTTCAATTTTTTGAGATTGTTTCTTAAAATCCAGCCAATCTGACCATTCTGACTTCGGAATCAGATTCAATACACAAAAATACATCAGAATACACTAGCGTAGTACGTACCAGACACTTTTTTTTATTTTAAGTGACTGTGTTATTATTACTCCATCATTAATGATGGTGAGTAATACACCAACCTATCATTTTCTCCTTAAGAGATATCCCTTTATTTATTTCATGATTTGGTATGGACCATTCATCTTTTAGCATATATAAAAGTCTCTGGCTTTTGAAAAGCGGAATGCAGATGCCCTGCATTGAAATTAAATCGAAGATTGTCTTTCTGTTTCAGTTCTTTACTCGGTTTCGAGTACTAGAAACTAAATTCACTAAAAATATTTACCGTGATGAACGGCATGTGGAATGCAAATTATAGATTCCCTTGTCGACTTATTTCTCAATCAATGTGCATTGCAAGTTGTAAAAAGTGCAGTGGTAAAAATTTTAATTTAATGTCGCCAAGACGAAAATATTAGCATTTCTAGTGTTGTTATTAGATGGCGTTGTAACGTCAGTAAATAATAATTATTTTTATAATTATTGTGCTATGACCGAAGAGATTTATCGAACCGAGACAGAAGTCAGATCCTTTGTATACGACGTTCTGATGATACCTAATGAGGTTGAAATACGTACAAACGGATGGCAGATGCCTTGCATTGATAGTAAATCTAAGACCGTCTTTCTGTTTTTACTAGCTTTTTTACGTATAGGTTATGAAGGAGCTTATCTTAATGAAGTTAACTAAACAAATTTTGCTGTTCTGCTTATACACTTTTCATGTTCAAAAAATATGAAAATAATCTGAAATGAATTCAAAACATACTTATTTAACATCGCTGTTAAACTCTACCAACGACAGTTTAAATAATTTTTTATAATAAAATATGTAGTTAAACAGCTTTTTGTAAATTTCTTTTTCTTTCAGAATGTGGGGAATACTATTCACCAGCAGAGTTTGTTATATCTGCAGTAGGTGGTACTAAGTCACTTCCAAAACAATTTCCACATATGGTAGGTATAGTCCAATCTTCGTTTAATTTTTTAAAGCCCAAATAAATCCTTCACCTACTCTAATTTTTTACCTAAACTATTTTTTATCGGATCTGCACTCATTTAAGGTATTATGTATATATATATATATATATACAGATTGAACGAAATAAATTCGGAACATAGGAATATAATGTATTTCGGCCCAATTCTGCTGTAGGTGGTTGGCCAACAAAAGATTGTCAAATAATTATATTATAAAAATCCAATACATCAGCGGGCTGCTGGATTCTAAACTCATAAAAATTGAAAGCTACACATAAATCTACGATTATGCTGTCAAACCAGTTATAGTCCAGGAAATGTAGCATTTCACCTCGCAATTTTTTCGTGCGGCGTGGATTGACTTGAAATTTAACAAAAGGTAGGTAATAGCCTAAGGATCAAAATCTATATCTAACCAAAGTGCGCCAAAGCCTAGGGGGTGGTTGCCACCCCATCTCCGGGGTGAAAATTTTTTTTACGTTTTAACTACAGGTTTCGATTAGAAAAGTGATTCTAAACAAAAAATGTACTATACATTTTTTTTATAAAATGATATTTTTCAAGTTATTCGCGATTGAAAGTAACAACTTTTAGACGAAAAAATCAACGTTTTTAATCGATTTTTCGCGAATAACTCGAAAATGGTGCATTTTATCAAAAAAATTGTAGAGAACAAATTTGTAGCTTTTAAAAAGACAAATAGAATTACAAATACAATATCAATGTTCAGCGGTTTTCTTCAAATGCCAAATTTAAAAGATTCAAAGTCAAATATCGGGAAAATGATGCATTTTTGGAAGAGAACTCACAAAACCTTTTTTAAAGAGCATAAATAGACCTATCATAAAAAAATAAGGTGAAATACCTCATTTTTTACGAAAAAATCGAGGAAAACAACACCCTAACCACCCCCATAATTAAAATCGATCTTCACCCTTCTGCAATTCCCTTTGTAGATGTATTGTTAATACGTCCAAGAAGTTTGACCCATTTAAAATGCTTAGTTTTAGAAAAAGTACAGCTTAAAGCGAGAAACGATTTACAATTTTATATTTTTTACCCTTCTTTTTTTAAATATGCCCGAAAATACTGAATATATGAAAAAAATAAAAATTACCAAATTGTAGCTTTTTTAATGACTAAAATTATCCTTTATTTAAATTTGTTGTACAATGAATATTTGGCGAGATATAGCCGATTTACGATCAAGCACCATCTTTTTCGAGCCCTTTAAACTCACCCCATTTAAAAACCAAGGGTTCCAAAAAGATTTAATTCACAGATCCTTGTAGCTATTAAAAACCTCTACAAATCCTTTTTAAAGAAACATCTATCGTTAAAAATTAAAGGAAATACGTTAAAAAAACCAGTTAATTTTTTTCCGAAAAATTCCATTAGTATAGTACAGTACATTTCGGAGCATAATAGTCTACAAAACCGGTATATTAGCTAGTGGGGCGTTATACATTCGAAATTTTAAGCGTTCTTATTTTGAAATCCCATACAACAGAATAAATCATCTGCTCATATGTCTATGGCTTGGCAATAAAAATATCAGAGCAACAGATTGGGGATGGTTTTCCAAAGATGGTTTGTTATTACCCGTACGCATGAACAAACAACCTGCACCCGATAAATTTTTGAAAATTTTTTTTTGCCAATGCAAAAAAAGGATGCGGCGTTTCATATGGGTGCAGAAAAGTTGGTTTATACTGTAACTCTACTTGTTCTGGGTGCTCAGGTGAAGGGTGCAATAACAGTCCACCAATAATTGAGGAAGATGATGATGACATAGATCACGATGAAGATGTAATTGATGACGAATAAAATTAATATTATAATTGTTTTACCTATAAATTAAAATATTTTCAACTATTTATGTAAATGTATAAGAATATAATATGGTGCCTTTTTATGTTGATAATTTTTTTTTGTATTTAATTCTACTTTTTTCAATTTATATCTTATAAATTAGTTTATAAAAACTTCAATGTTGTAAAGGGTGATTTTCAAAAGTTGAAAAGTTGCAAAATTTTGGCAAAAAATTGTTTTCACCTATAGCACTCATAACATTTGATTTTTAAGGGTTGAAAATGTATGAATTTGTATTTTAAAGTATAAAAAACTCACTATTTAACTAATCCAAACCAAATTTCACTCATCTTAGGATTTGTAATATTATTTTACAATTTTTGAAAATTAGGAGTAGTTTTCACCCCTAAGAACAATCAGGGTTCATCGGCATGACATAAACTATAAATTAGAGGGTGAGTTGAACTTAATTCCAAATTTTTATGCAAGTCGTTTCAAGGTGAAATCATTTTCTTCGCATTACTAATTTTTTTATATTAATCTCTAATGAGGGTCGCTTTTTAAGGGTTGAAATATGATGTAATTCAAACCAAATTTTAACCCATATTCAGGTTTAATATGTTATTTTATAATTTTTGACAATTAGGGTAGTTTTCACCCCTAAGAACAATCAGGGTTCGTCGACATGACATAAACTATAAAGCAGCGGGTGAATTGAGCTTAAATCCAAATATTTATCCAAATCGATACAAGGCGAAATCATTTTTTTAGAATTAGTAATTTTTTACATTAATTTCTAACAAGAGTTGCTTTTTAAGGTTGAAATATGATGGAACTCTGTTCAAAAGTATAAAATAATCATTATTTAATTAATTCAAACCAAATCTTACCCATATTCAGGATTAATATGTTATTTTATAATTTTTGACAATTAGGGGTAGTTTTCACCCCTAAAACCCTTCAGCGCACATCGGTTCGATATAGATTTTGATCCTTGGGCTATTACCTACCTTCTGCTAAAATTTCAACTGGATACATGCACGACGAAAAAATTGCGAGGTTTTAACTTTTTTCGAGCTTCAATTCCTGAACTATTACGCCTCCTTAGACAAACCCGTCTTACGCAAACAACTTTGTTGCGAGACAGATAGTTGAACGATATTTTATACAATGTCTATACCCAGGTATGGATTTATTTTTGTCCAAGTTTTATATTGGTCCACTATTTTAAATGCAGTTCAAACAGACATGTATTAAATTGTATGTTCCGTTTTTAATTTGGTTCAATCTGTATATATATATATATATATATATATATATATATATATATATATATAATATATATATATAATATATATATATATATATATGTAAGCGATCCTTTGTAAACGCAACGAAGCCGATTTTACTTAATACCAAGCAATTATTTAATACAAATGGTTCAACAAAAACAAGGTATAGCAAAGCAGTTGGATATGACATATAAAATATAGGCAATAGCACGCCATTTGCCTTTAAGTTCTGAAATTTACCAAATGGTGTACATCTCCTACCTCTTCGCTTTTTTGTTTTTTACATGGCCTCTCTTTTGATCTTGTGTCCTGGATTTTAATACCTGGCCTCTAGTTTGCGCTTTGCGTTGAAGTCTCCCATTACTATTTTGATATTTTACTTTTTTATTTAGAAGAGATAAAAACTAAATATCAGAAAAAAGAGAACGTTTGTCTAAAATGTAAATCCAAAAGAACACAGGGAGCTTATTAATAATATAAGAAGGTTCGCAATGAGAGACATGCACTAGTCAGACCAAAGAAAAGAGAACGATAGGGAAGGTTCTCTAAAGAATCAAGACATGATTTTTATGGATTACGGAACAATCTGTGCAATAAGAGGTCAAAGAAGAAAAATTAATAAGTTAATAGAAATTAAGCACATTACTTAAGAAGAGTGGACAACATGTCTCAGGTAAATAAACCGAAAAACATACATAAACATACTCCTGAAACTCCAGAAATACCATTATCGCAAACACCAGAAACTTAGATAAAGGAAACTATAACAAAGTTGAAACTAACAAAGAAGCCTGTAAAAAGCGTAATACCGAATGAGCGTATGAAATATGGAGGAACACAGCTTATATGACAATTAGCCATAATGTTTAATAAAATATTAAGGTCTTAAAGAATACCTGAGAAACGCTCTGTATATGAGATAAACAACAATTAAGTACAGGAAGATAATATAACGAGGATCTCTTCGACGTCAGACCAATAGCAAAGAAATCTATAAAATACAATAATCCAGCCTATTTATATTTTTTAAACTTACAAAAACCTTTCACAGAGTAAGACTATCGTCAATACATCTACTATACAAAAGACAAATACTATTAGATATTTTAAAAATAATAGAAAACATATACCTAAGAAACAGAACCAAAGTAAAAGTTCAAAACCTAACAACCGAACCTATAGATATTACAACTGTAATCAGACAAGAAGATCCATTAAGCCCACTTGCATTTAATGCCCTATTGGACAAAGTTGTGAAATAAGTAACAACAATAAAATGATACCAAATAGAAAACAAGTAAATTAAAAAATATATACCACATCGATGAAGTTGTTCTGATAGACGAAAATTAAAATGGTTTGCAACGAATGACAAACGTTATGATGGCCTCGATATAGGCTTTCGAGTCTACAAGGAATGGTATTACGCTTTTTTTTGTTGCGGGAGGTCTAAGTAGAGGGATTAAGAGTATTCTAGTTTTGGTCTGGAAGTTATGGTAGAAGCTAGGTTTTTAAGTATGTGTTAGCTCTCAGTACTGGCTCAGGTGCTTGATTTTTATAAAGTAAGTTATATTTTGATAAAGTTGTATTTGATTATTGTATATTTATTATGAAGGTTAAGTTACTATTTACCATTTACTGCAGTTGCTGTTATCACTTGGGCAATTCTCAGAGTTGTTAGGAACGGCTCTTAGATCAGCATTTTGGCAAGCGGTATTTTAGTGAGATGGTTTCTAAGATATTCATGATACCAAAAAGTTCGTTGCCCGCTGTGTTTAGAAGTCTAGTGGACTGAAATATGACTTTGGTTTTTGGAAGTCTGGTGAGTACTTGTTTTCTACGGTGGCGTGATTTTCTGAGGAACTCCTTTGC